GTACAATTGCTCCTGTGGGTGAGGGGCCATTCTGTGGGAGTAGCTGGATTCAGAGCCATTTCTTGGTTCTAGTTTCCTTTCTGGTAAAGTACCAATGGTAAGTATGGACTTTGGTAAGTACGCCTCAGAAGTACTGTGTAGTTCTATAGATCACACTTGAGATTGGCTATTATCCTAGCCATTATTATTAATGATATGCATCATTGAAAACATTAGTATAAATTACAGAGAATTAGTGATGATATTAGGTATCTCAGACTCAGAGAATCTCAGGGCTGCCAGAGCCATCAGACGCCATCCACTTGAGCCTCCCTCGATGGGTATTAGAATCTTCTGTTCGATATCCATGAAACTGTTATTAATCTTATTACAAGCAAGACTGTGCATGATGAATTTCAGAATTCACCCCGGCAGGAAGTGGCTCCCTGTACTCCAATCAGATCAAGGCCCGATGGTTATGGCTCTGTGTTCCTGGTGGGCCTTGCGGAGCCATCATTCCTGCCTTCATAAGAAATCCAGAGGCCAGACAGAAAGCAGCTGTGGCCAGAATAGTGGTAGGAAACTGGGTACAGAGCCGGGACCTTAGCTGGGAAAATCTCAGAGGGGGAGATGCTGTCCCCTTGACAAATCAGCCCTGGTCTCCATGACACTGAGAAAAGGCAGGAGGCAAGAAAGGGGCAGGAAACACATGGGAGCCGCTGCAGCCCCTAATGCTCGTTCATGTTCCAAGATCCTCAGTCCCAACAGCAGCAAGGAGGACCTGAAAAATCTCTGACCTCACCGCTGGGCTCCCTCACTTATCACTTCCCCAATCCCTGCTCACCCTTTATCCTTGTTCCAAGTCTGGCATAAAAGCCAAAATCTAACAATGGGACTCTGGAATGACATAAAGGCTACACCAAGTCCTCCCAGCCGCTTTCTCCATTTCTCTGGGTTAACAGACATTTTCCCTTATAGGATGTAAATGCTCATGGGAAGACTCTGCCAGATGCCAGGTAAATCACCTAGGGACAGTACTTGAGTTAGGGGTGAGTTCTTCCCAATGGGATGGTAGGAGGACCTGAAGCAGCCCACTGACCAGCCCTTTCCACCTCTCCTTAACATCCAGGTCCCCTCCAGCACAAACATGGTCCCCTCCAGCACAAACATTCTTCCTCCCCACTGGAAGGAATTTTAGAGAAATACTCCACCTCATCCAGCAGTGGATGGCTGGGCAGGCCCCTTGGGTAGAGCTGACACTTCACAGTTACTTGAGGGAGAAGTGAGGTACAGCAGAACATGTGGCTGGGGATAGGGTGACCCCCACACAAAGAGCCTGGCTTCCATGATGAAGGTAAATGGAGAGGACTGTGGGTCACTGCAGAGGGAGGATGTGGGGAGGGCCCCAACAGCCATCAAGTAAAGGAGTCTAATTCTTCCTTGATCCTCACATTTTTTGCAGAGTTCTGATGAGACTCTGCCTTCTGAGGAATCCTGCAAACAGGGTTAGGTTAGTTCAGCCTTGGCCAGTATCATTAGGGAAGCAGAGCTTGGGACTTTTCTGGGACTTTTCCTCTTGAGCTCTACAGCCCTCCATCTCCCCTGAGGTATGGAAAATGGAGATTTGTGCCAGGTATGAGAAAACAAGATACTCTTGCCTGAGCCCCTCCGCCTTTGGTTTGGGGTAGAAAACAAGATGGAGGGGGCTGAGACAAGAGTATCTGATTCCAGGGGTGGTCAACTGGGCTTTCTTCCCTACATCCAGACTTGTCTGCAGAGTGGTGGGGGAGAAAGCCAAGTGGAGACATTTGAATACATACAGTCCACAGCAGGGCTAGAGAGGTTGTACAGCATCCCGCTGTTTCAAGTAAATTCTTTCAGATGGATTACCATGACTGCCATTCCTTTTATTTAAGTTGATTTATTTATTTTGAGAGAGAGAGACAGGCAGAGACAGAATCCCAAGCAGACTCTGAACTACCAGCGTGGAGCCCTACTCAGGGCTCTACCTCATGAACCATGAGATCATGACCTGAGCCAAAATTAAGAGCTGGATGCTTAACCAACTGAGCCACCCAGACGCCCCATGCCTTCCATTCCTTACCCCAAAACTCAGATTTACACACCACTGCTTTCCCCAGTTTACAGCTTTTCCAACCTGAAGATGTAAGTTATTTATTTGGGATTTTTTTTTTCCAAGTTCTTATAGAGCTTATCGAGCAGAAAGGTTCTCAAATGAAACCTTCAGACCCCAGAACTGGTGTTCCCATCACACCATACCCTCCCCCCACCACACACACACTCACTCGGCCATTACAGTGATGCCCACCTGCTGCAGAAAATAGAAGTGAAGGCTGAGAAGGCAGCCAGAGGAAGAAAAGAAAATATCCACACAGCAAGAGAACAACCAAGTCTGGGAGAGATACAGAAGGATATAGGGCTCTTGAGAGTTGCAGTATGAGTCTGGGAAGGGTGGCTCTTCCAGGAATGTTCCATGAGCATGAAGATCTCTCAGCCCTCCAGTCCCACCCTGGGTGGGATAGGGTCAGAGACCACGGTCCGCTATTGGCTAAGCAAAGGAAGGGGGGAGGTGAGAGGGATCAGGCAAGCACGAGTAAGGAAGAGGTGAGGGGCAGAAAGGAAAACTTGAGAGGACAAAGCTGTATAGGTCCAGCTCATCTCCCATCCACATCTAGAAGAGGGCACAGAGCAGAGGCCTGGGATGGGCCTCCACCTGGAGTGTCCCTGTAGGCCCACTCCCTAGTGAACCCAGGAGGCAAGCAGGGGGCCCCCTGAATCTGAGGTCCTTTTCGGGATTTGAGCGTTTGTGCTGTATATGTTTTGATGCTCTTTTTGTTCCCTGTGGGAAGGCAAAGACTCCTGACCCAATATAGGAACAGAGGCCCATTGGGACATCAAAGCTTAGTGAAGGAGGAAAGGGCTGGCTTCTCCATGAACACTAGAGGCTCTAAGGCATAGCCCCACCATCAGACCCACTTGTCTCTTCCGGGTCTTCATGAAGGGATGGACACCAAATGACTGGAGAATGGCTGAGGGTGATGAGCCCCTGGTCCTCCAGATTATTCCAGGGTAAATTTATTGAGGGGAGAGCTGTTGCACAGAAGAACAGAAGTGTTTCAGAAAGTTTTACAGAATCTGAGTTGGCCTTGAAGTAGCTAGGGAAGGGCAGACTCAGGACTCTCCTTTCTTGGTTGTGAGGCACCATAGATAGCAAAGTTCTTCGCAGAACACAAAGGACTGTGCAAGCAGGGAAGAGGGAACTCATCTTACTTGCCAAACAGAGGAATAAGCATCCATGTGCTATTTCTTATAATCCTCACCCATGACACACAGGTTGGATCACCCATTTTACCACCTAGAAAACTGAGACGCAGAGAGGATAAACAACATGCTGCAGGTCATAGAACTAGTTAGGGGAAGAGCTGGGTAATCAGTCAACCACTGGAGGTGCCCCAAAGTTACCTAATAACAGCAAAGGACATTAGAATCTCAGTGAATCATCTGGAAGGATGATGCGAGCCACAAGGGTTAAAAGAGGACATGTAACATTAAAAAACGGAAGACATGGAGAAATCTATTGGACAGATATTTAATGCCTTCTCTGTGTCTGTCCCAGTGTCTGTGTGATGAAAAGTAGAAGGCTGTCCTCAAAGTCCTTAAACATCCTGAGAAACTGAGGCCTATTGCCTTTTTTGTTCTTGCTTTCTCAAGTGTGGGGGCTGGAGAGAGGAGTAAGCCAGCAGGCCCAATGGGGCAAGTGCACTGCATACCCTCTCCTTCAAGGGAGTGGAGTCTTTTTCAGTATTCTCATCTGTAAAATGGCCATGGCGTCTCTCTACCTCCAAGGATTTGTGTTTGTAAATCACAGAGCTCTACGTTGATACACAAATAACCCAGAGCATTTGAGAAATCACCAATTCATGATGATTAATGACATGGATCAATGATAACACTGTTATAAATTACAGAACACTAATGATTATGTGGGTATTAGGCCCAGAGTCTTGGGGCTGGAAAGATCAGAGGTCTCCAAGTAAGCCCTCCTCTGTTCATCAATATCCCTGCCAGGTGGTTATTCTGATTACAAATGATTCCATACTTTTATAAGTCCTCCAAGGACAAGAACACATGAACTCATTCCCTGTGCTCCGATGAACTCAGTGCTTAATGATTATGGCTCTAGCTTTGTACAGACTCCACCATTCCCGCTCCTTAGGAGACCCCCGAGTCTTTACTGAAGACAACTCCCAGAATATTCTGTGGTCATCACTGGGGTAGAAAAGCACAGAGAAAGGGCCCCAATGTGGGGAGTCTTAGGGATTGTTCCCTTGCCAGATCAGCTCTGGTCTCTGTGGCATGTGGGAAAACAAGACAGGAAGAGGGGGCAGGGCACTGGGTGACATCCGAAGCCCCAGCAAGTGAATGGTTTTTTTTTGCAACGACTTTCACTACCAACTGTGAGATCCAGCAAAGCTGCCCACCGCCTGCCAGGTATACAACCCAGGCCACTGACAGGATGCCTGTGCTCTTGGGTCCCCACTCTGAAGACAACCCCCTCCCACCAGTAATTTCTTATTAATTCTCCCATTACCCTTAATCAAGGACTGGGAGGATGAAGTTTCAAAACAGTAATGAAATCCCAGGACCTCAATATGAATCACTATTTAGCCCCTTCCACATCCTTCCTAATGGCCTGACATTCCGGCAGATAAATGTGTCCCTTTGGTTCTTGCCCTACTACCACGTAGAAGCTCAAAGAAAACCCTGCCGGGTGTCTAGCAAATCGACTGGTGTCAGGTCCCTCCCTGACATACTGAGGAGCATTCTTCAGAGGGAAAGGGGAAGAGCCAGGGATATCCCTCAAAATCCCACCCACCCCCAGCCTCCCCTCATTGCCCACGTGTCTGTGGCACAAGTCCCATGCACCTGTTTGGATGGAAAGAAAAAAAAAGGACCATCCAAATCTCCTGAACCCGCAGGCCAATCACGAGTCCTGCCAGTCAAGGTCGTGAAGCCTTTATTAAATCTGTCTACCTGACCTGAGGTCTGCGGGGCTCAGTCACCTCTGCGTGACTGGCCAGGCCCCTTGACCCCACAGGCCCTCACGGAAGGGCGGTTTGAGGAACAAGATACTGCACAAAAGAGGGAGGATATACTCAGGTGAAGAGCCAAGTTTCCATGTTGATGGTAAGTGGAAGAGCCTTTGGGTCTGAGCTGAGCTCTGAGGAGGGCAAGGGACCCATCCTTTTCACTGCTACAAACACCTACAGCGGGGTTCCTGCTCACGCCCAGCCCTCTCTCCTGAGGAATCCTGTGAGCCTTGACCTTGAAGGAACCTTAACCCCCGAGGGCTGTGTCTTCTCCTGCTGCCTGGACCAAGCTCAGATCTCCTCAGTGAAGGGAGAGTACTCAGTACCTTGAGGGGGAAACGGGTGTGGGCCATGCATGGACCAAGAAAAGAGCCCCAGGTCCTGCTCGCAGACCCTTCTCCAGATAGCTAACACTGGGGTGAAGGCTGGGAAGGCAGGAGCCTGGGAAGGTCCTGCTGGGATGGGACTCCTGGAAGGTGACTTTCTAGTGGCTAGATGACCGCGTGCACAAATAGCCTCCACACTCTTGGTTATGCTTGACTGATGATCGTGGGCAGTGACCAGTCCTGTGAAAGCAAAAGGAAACGAGAGGAAACTTGATACACAGAGAGGCGGCCAAGTTAAAACCACAAGCAGTGTGTGCCACACCTGTTTTCAAAAGACACTCCCATTCGCGTGGAGGTTCTGACTTAGGCGTTACTATAACGTCGCGTTTCAGGTGAGAGCAAATTTCGCAAAGGGTTCCCTGGTCCCCCCACCCCGCCCCCGCATCCCGAGCTTAGATGGGAGCCCCTGGCCCTTGCAGAGGTGGTCTCCTGACCCCAAGCTTCCACCCCTCACGCTGGGAAGGGAGGTGAGAAACGGAACATCCCTCAAAACCCGGGGGGAGCCAGCCTACGAGAGGAGAGGGGCGGCCGGGACACTCACCCTGGCGCCGGGGAACACGGGGCACGGGGCCGGGCGGGGCAGGGCGGCTCCGCTAGGCTAGTCCGGGTCCTCGGAGTCCTGCGCTCTTTCATGGCCTGCAGGCGGCGAGTCCTCCGGAAGGGAGAATGGAATCCTGCCACGGGAGACCAAACACAGAGGTAGAGGGAGAAAAGGGGGCGGAGTTGCGAGGGTGAGCCGGAGGCGAGGGGAGGGCTCAGCCCTGCAGCGCGGGAGCCACGCCCTGAGGGGACAGAGCTGTGGCCCTGGGGACGCCAAGGCCGCAACTTCTGCAACCAACCTGAGGTAAGGGAGGGGGCGCCCAGTTCCCCACATCCTGGGTCTCGGGGTTTTTCCTGCATCCTTAAGGCAGTTCTGATCTTCCCTGGATAGGGAGAGTGCGTATAAGCCGGGTTGTCATCTAAGAAGTCAACTCAGAGCGGTCGCGGAGAAACTGAACCAGGGGCGGCCCGAAATTAACCGCCAACTGCCGGGCTCAAGCCGTTGGCCACGCCCACCGCCCCTCCCCCGCAGCCCTCCTCCAATCAGAGGCCAAGCTCCTCCCCCTGCCCGCTCCCGCTGCCCCGAAACTCCGCAACCTGCCAAAGGTCCTGGGTTTGGCAGTTTGCGGACCAGTGTAGGTGGGGGAGGGTCTGGAATCCGCGGAGCGCGGGGGCTGCCTAGGAGCCTTGGCCCTTGGAACAGGTGGTGGCAGGGTGGAAGGGGACGGAGCCCCTGGGCCTCCTGCTTTATATTTACCAGGCCGTGGAATCCCAGGATTTCTGTGCTTCCTGAGTTCTTACTTCCCTTTTATCTTACCTCAGAGGAAAGCACCATCCAGAAGGCACTTGGCCTGAGGTCTCACAAGAGTTAGAGGCACAACTGCAATTCAGACCCTACTAAGGCCAATTTCTGACATTTTCCACCCAACCAAAGACCCTCTACTAGAGAGAAACGCTTGACCAGGCTCATCCAGCTCATGGGGCCTCAGAACCCTGAAGAAAGCTTTGCCATGGTCTCCTGCTTCCCCTGTCCCCTTCTGCAAGGCCTGGGGAACCAGGTTCTCACTCAGACCCGCAGAGGCTGGTTGGAGGGGAGCTCGTCTGTTAATATTTCCTGGGCACTTAGTTTGAAAGACTCCCTCCTGGAAAGTTCAACATGCATCATCATACCTGAGCATCCCAGATTCCTTTGTAAAAAATTGACAGAATTCAACATAAGGTTCACCATTTTAAAGTGTACAATTCAATGGCTTTTATTACATTCACACTGTTGTGCAACCATTACCACTATTGAATTCCAGAACATTTTGTCACTCCCCGCAAAAGAAGCCCCATAGAAGCCAAGCGGTCACTCCGTATTCTTTGCTTTAGCCTAGAGCAACACGTAAGCCGTTTTCTGTTTTGACGGATTTACCTCTTCTGGACACTTCGTGTGAACAGGATCACACAACATATGATCTTTTGTGTCTGGCTGTCTTTTACCTAGTATAGTGTTTTCAAGGTTTCTCCATGGTGTAGCATGTACTAGTACTTCATTCTTTTTAAAGCTAAAGAATACTCCCCTGCATGATTACACCTTATTTTGTTTATCCATTCCCGTCAATGGACTTTTGGGTTGTTTCCACTCTTTGATTTTCATGACTAACTCTGCTATAAACATTTGTGTACGCGTTTTTTTGTTTGAATGTATCTTTTCAGTTTCTTTGGATATATGCTTGGGAGTGGAATTGCTGGGTCATATGGCAATTCCGCATTTAACTTTTTTTTGAGGGATTGCCAAAATGCTTTCCACAGTGGCTACACCATTTTACATTCCTACCAGCGATGCATGAAAGTTCAGGTTTCTCCTCATCAATGCTGGTTATTTTCATTAAAAAAAAAAAGTTTATAGCCATCCTAATAGGTGTGAAGTGTATTGCACGGTGGTTTTGATTTGCATTTCCTTTGTTGTTGTTTGTTTGTTGCATGGCTTTTCTGAGCTAGTTTTGTAGTTCGTATCCTATGACAGTTTGTCATGTGTGGCCACTAAAGTCTGTTCTGTTAGATTTATGGTCAGCTAGTGATTTCACAGAAATTTCCTTAAATACTTGGAACTAAAAAAAACAACAAAAAAAAACAAAACCTCCCAGTCTTAGTGGATGGTGCGTCTGTGCATGTGTGTGTGTACGTGTGTTGGGACATGTATTCAACACTCAGCTAGACAATTTACAACTGTATCTCAGCCTTTGCTTCCTGCTTGTGCAGAGCCTGAAGATTAGTCAGAGATAAGGGCTTAGGGCCTTCTCAGGTCTTTTCTGAGCCCTGGGTATTTGCATGGCTTTCTGGATTCCCAGAAATGTGTGGCAGCATTCCAAAATCCTTATTCTCATTCCCTAGCGTTTCTCTTCCAGGCTTTTAAGTTAGACTATTGTTTTCCCCAACCGTTATTCCCTGCCTGAGGAAGCAGCAGCTAACACATTTGACTTTAAGTATTTTTGACAAATTCTCCCTGGGTAGCTGCTTCAACCCTGGGATCATTCTGAGGTAGATGAAATAAAGTCAGCTGTTTGAGACAGCTCTTCCAGGAGTCACCAGACAGGTCAAAACAAAAACCACAACTGTTTGAGAATAAGCTCTCTTCTGTTCCCTCTGGTTCCAGGTATATACTGGGAATACCAACTGTTGCCTTCAGGTCACTACCAAGTTGGGGAGTGGGAGATGGTACCAGGTAGGTTAAAATATCTTATTTATCGAGGCTCATATGTGTTTTTCTTGAATAATCATTCCCGTGCATGCTGTATGACATTGATTAGATTCCCCACAATGTTGATTCTCACAGTTTTTGCCAGATTATTCATTGCTTCTGTGGAGGAACAGATTTCTGGAGTTCCATACTCCACCATTTTTGCCGACATCACACTCCCTATATCCCTTTTAGGTAACTACTCATTAGGAGCTAAGTTCCTGAGAAGTTTAGTAACTTGCCCGTGTTGTATCCAGTAACACAAAGAAAAAGGATTTGGACACAGATCATCTGACTCTAGAGTCTGTTATATCCAATTGTAGCATTTGTCCACTCATTCAAGAATATTAATAATTCTACATCTACTAAGTGCTAGGTATAGTTCTAGAAATTCAAGATTACCTCATAGTACAAAATAGCAACTATTCAGGTCCCTGAGAACTTGTACTTTTATGGAGGGAAGGTCATGACAGACATTTAATAGATATTTGATATTAGAACTTCAGAAGTGCTATGGAATAAAGAAATTGAGATATTTATTTTATATAAGGACTGTTATGGGAGTGGGGTGTATATAATTTTTTAACATTTATTTTGTCTTGGTTGCAAATTTTATAAAAAAGTTGCAATAGTAGTACATGAATTCCTATATATGCTAAAGCAGATCTATTCATGGTTAACATTTTGCTACATTTGCTTTACCTCTCTCTCATTTGATAGTAAGTTGTATTACATTGTGCCTGTTTACTCCTTCATAATTAATTATTTCCTAAGAATTAGGAAATTCTCTTATACAAGCATGGGGTAGTTACCAATTAGGAAAGTTAGCATCTATACAATAGTATTATATAATCAACAACTTATATCCTGAATCTAAATTATGTTATGTCCTCTCATTTGACTGATTATCACATACATTCTTTATCTGTGGTAATAGTCTTTGTTCTGAAATCTACTTAGTTTCATAGTGGTATAGGTACTCCGGCTTCCTTTTGATTAGTATTAGCACTGTTTATCTTTCCCCATTTCTTTACCTTTTTAAAAATTTTTAAATGTTTATTTATTCAGAGAGACAGAGAGAGAGCAAGTGAGGGAGGGGCAGAGAGATCCAGAGACAGAGAATCCCAAGCTGGCGCCACATTGTCAGTGCAGAGCCTGACACAGGGCTTGAAACTGCAAGCCACGAGACCATGACCCAAGTGGAAACCAAGAGTCAGACATTTTAACCGACTGAGCCACCCAGATGCCCCTTCCCATTTCTTTGCCTCAACTTATCTGTATCTTTATATTTAAAGCAAGTTTTGTGTAGGCAGCAGTAGTGGGGATTTCTTTTTTATGCATTTGAGCAATCTCTGCCTTTTTATTGGAGTGTTTAAACCATTTACATGTAATGAGTTATTGATATGGTTAGGTGTAAGTATATCATCTTGCGGTTTGATTTCTATCTGTTCCATGTCTGTGATTTTTATTTTCCTCTTTATCTTGCTTTATTTTAAAGTATTTGAACATTTTACTCCATTTTCTCTTTTGTTGGCTTACTATCTACAATTCTTTGTTTTTGCCATTTTAGTGGTTGTTTTAGGATTTATAGTACACATCATTAACTTGTTACAATTTACTTTCAAGTGATTCTATACTACATCATATATATTATAGGAATCAACTTCTCCATAGTGTATTTTCATTTATCTCCTAGTAGCCTTTATGCTATCTATGCCATACAGTTCACTTTTACATATATTATAAACTCCACACTACAATGTTTTCTCTTAAACGTAACTAACTTTAAAGGGATTTAAATAATAAAATAAAATCCTACATATTTATCCATAAAGCTACCATTTTCAGTGCTGTTTATTTCTTTGTGAAATTTTATATTTCCATCTGGTATAATTTTCCTCTGCCTGAAGGATTTCTTTTAACAAATCTTGTAATGGGGTTCTACAGGCATGAGTTCTTTCAACCTCTGCATGCCTAAAAATCATATTTATTTGCATTAGTTTTTGAAAGATGCTTTCACTGGGAATTGAATACTAGGTTGACAGTTTACTTCTTTTAGTACTTTCAAGATGTTTCACAGTCTTCTTACTTGCATTGTTTCTCACTAGAAATCTTCTAGCACACTTGTCTTTTTTTCTTCTTCATGTAAGGTGTATTTTTCTCTGGTTGCTTTTAAGGGTTTCTCTATCACTGGTTTGAGTAATTTTATTATGATTTGGCTTAGAGTGGTTTTCTTCGTGTTTCTTGTGCTTAGAGTTTGTTAACCATCTTGAGTATGTGAGTTAGTTTTTATCATGTTTTGAGTATTTTAAGCTAATATTTCTTCAGATTTTTTTTTTGTATGTCCCTTTTCTATCCTTTCCTTTGGGGATTCCAATTATAGATATAGTAGGCAGCGTGAAGTTGTACTACTGTTCACTGATACTCTTTTCATTTTCTTTTTTATTATGATTTTTTTCTGTGTATTTCATTTTAGATTGTTTCCATTGCTGTCTTAAATTCACTAATCTTTTCTTCTTTAGTGTCTGATCTGTTGTTAATCCTATCCAGTGTGACTTTCACATCAAGCATTGTAGTTTTCCTCTCTAGCTGTTCAATTTGGGTCTTTTTTTTTTTTTTTTGGCATCTTGTGTCTCTCTACTAACTTTTTGAACATATGGATTACAGTTATAATAACTATCTTAATGTCTTCGTCTGCTACCTCTAACGATGTGCCCAGTTATGGCTTGTTTTAATTAATTGACTTTCCTCCTCATTATAGGTTGTATTTTCCTGCTTTTCTACAGGCCAGGTAATTTTTTATTGGACATTATGAATTTTAATTTGTTTTTGTATTCCTATAACTATTCCTGAACTTTGTTCTCAGATGGAGTTAAGTTATGTGGAAAGAGTTCAGTCCTTTCAGGTTTTGCATTAAAGATTTGTCAGATAAAGCCAATGCATTGTTCAGTCTAGGGCTCATTATCTCCCACCTTTGAGGCAAGATCCTTCTGAGTACCCTATACAATTCTACATGAATTATGAAGCTTTCTAGTTCAGCGGCTTGGAGCAGACACTACTCTTGGTCCTGTGACAGTACCTGGAGATGTTTCTGCTTATCCTTTTAAAAGGTTCTTTCTGTGGTTTGGGTAGTGCTATGATCTGAATGTTTGTTTCCTCTCAAAATGCATATGTTAAAATCCTAGCCCCCAAAGATGATGGATTAGTAGGTGGGGCCTTTGGGGAGTACGTAAGTCATGAGCATGGAACTCTCATCATGGGATTGGTGCCTTATAAAAGAAGAGAGCTGCCTGGCCCCTTCCAGCATGTGAGGACTACACAGTGAGAAGTGGACCACCAGAAAAGGGCCTCACCCAACCATGCCAGCATCTGGGTCCCAGACTTCCAGCCCCCAGAACTGTGAGAAATAAAGTTCTGTTGTTTATAAGCTGCCCAGTAATGGTATTTTGTTATAGCAGCCTGAATGGACTCAGACAGGTAGTTTCCTCACACAAGTGTGCTGATGAGCATTCTGTTGAATACGTGAGAGGGACCCTCTGCAGCTCTCCTCTCTCTTGGACTCTGTCCTGTGAGCTGCAGCTCCCTTGATCTCCTCAGACTCTCAGCTTCTTCAGTCAGGCAGGCAGTCCACTGGGTTCCCTGAGCTGGGCCTGGAACTCTCTCCAGGCACTCAACTGATAAAATTGTAGAATTAATCTCCTTTGTTTCCAAGTCTTCAGGATCTCTGACCTTCGTGGTTTGATGTCTTGTATGTTTCAAATATTTTGTTCAGACTTTATGTTATCGTTTTAGGAGGGAGAATGAAGTCAGTCCCTTTTTCTCCATCTTTGGAAGGGCTTTTAATTTTTTTTAATTTTTTTAAGTTTATTTATTAATTTTGAGAGGGGAGGGGCAGAGAGAGGGGGAGAGAGAGAGAGAGAGAGAATCCCATGCAAGCTCTGTGCTGTCAACACAGAGCCCAACGTGGGGCTCAATCTCACAAACTCTGAGATCATGACCTGAGCCAAAATCAAGAGTCAGATGCTTAACTATCTGAGCCATGCAGGCACCCCTGGAAGGGCTTTTTAAATTTTTGCTTTTTATTTCTGCTTTTACTGCATTGTAATCAGAGAGTTCTGTTTGTAATATTTCTAATGTGGAACCTACTTATGTTTCCTTTGTGATATAACATATGATCAATTTCAATGAATATTTCATGTCTGCTTGAGAAGCAAGTATATTCTTTATTAAAGGGTACAGCATTTAATACATATTTATGGAATCTAATTTAACATTAATGTTGGTTAAGTCTTCTCTATTTAGACTTATTTTTTGTTCACATGCCCTTCTTGTCCTGAGAGTGGTGTGTAAAACTGTCTTATCGTTATTATTTTTATCTATTTCTCCTTGCATTGCTGTCATTTCTATTTCATTGATAAGTGGTTTCTGTGTAATCTGGTACATAGATATTAATAGCTGATATATTTTATTGTAGATTGTGGGTTTTTGCCTCATAATATGTTTTTATTTGTCTTGTTTGATGCTTTTTGGTCTAAATTCTGCATTGTCTAATAGTAAGCTTACTACTATTCTTTAAAGTTGTTCTATTTAAATAGCATAACTTTTCCTATCCTCTTTTATTCTTTAGCCTTTGAATCACTTTGTTTTAAATGTCTCTATCCTATATAGAAGAGACTGGAATTTTGCTTTGTAAAATATTTTGAAAATCTATTTCTTTTACTAGGCAAGTTAAATATCCTTCGCATTTATTTATTTATTTATTTATTTTTAAATGTTTATCTATTTTGAGCGAGAGGGAGGAAGGGGAAGAGAGAGAAAGGGAGAGAGAATCCCAAGCAGGCTCCATGCTATCAGCTTTCCATGCTATCAATTTCATGAACTGGGAGATGACCTGAGCCGAAACCAAGAGTCAGACTCTTAACCAACTGAGCCACCCTGGTGCCCCTCTCCTTCATATTTATTGACATGACTAATATATTGGTGTCAATTTTATGTTATGCTTACTTTGCTTTTTTCTCTATATGTCCCCTTTGCTTTTTTTAAAATAAAAATTGTTTTGATATTTACAAAAGTGTACATTTTTGCTCTACTAGTTACCTTTGATATCTTTTAACATACCCTTATTTAACTTTTATCTCAACTATAAATTATCTGCCTAGATTGTGAATTCTAAATGGTGTCATTTGATTCCTACCTGTTCCTCTTTCTGTCTTCTTTCTTGGCTCGAATTTTAAGTTACATGCTTTCTACTTGGTCAGAACCTATGATATTTACAAATTATTTTCCACCTTTGTCCCCGATCCTTGTTTAACTATTAGATCTACATGCTCTAAATATACTTTAAATACACTACACACTCACCATCATTCTCTTTTCTCCCCACTCCCCAGTCATGTCTTGAGCAGACAGAATTCCTCGTCTAGCAGGTTATCTTAAAAGGGCTCATGTGTACAGGATTCTCTCACTCTTTGCATATATAATTTTTCAATAGCCTTGATAATTGAATGATAGCTATATTGCATATAAAGTCCTTGGCTTACAACTCATCTCCTTTCTGTTGGTTATCTGAATATAAAGCTCCATTCTTGCCTTGCTTTACAGGTTGCTCTCAAATATCCTGATGCCAATAGAATTTTCATACTTTTAGAGGTATTATGACTATTGTGTCTGGAGGCCTTGAGTATTGCTTCTTTTTCTTTATAGTCTAATTACTGTATAGGCTATATTTCTGAGTTGATCATTCTCAACTTTCCCAGGCATGTGGTTGACCTTTACATAAATTTAAGTTTTCTTCTATTTCCATAAAGGGTTCTTGAATTCTGTTTTTAAAATATTAGTTCTATTCCATTGTTCCCTCGAATTTTTAGGGATACCCCTGTTCCTGAACATGTGAGAAGGGGTGGGATATAGTAGAAAAGCGGAGGGGCTGGTTTGAGACGGGAGTGCAGATAATTTGTTTACTCCAACGGGCAGGAAAGCAGAGGGTGTGGACATGGATGCTGACAGGTGGCGTCTAAGGAAGCACACTTCTAATTGCTTTGTTTTTCTCAGTGGTAAGGAAGCAAGATTGAAGCTAACTCTCTAATTTTCCCCACCTGGAAAGAAGAATGGAGATGAGTGTGTTTGCCAAATTTACATCTGTGGTCTGAATGCGAATCCTTTGCCAAAATTTGTGAACTATGTTCCAGAAGGAGTTCTACCTGGTAGAACACCCAGAGCTTCTTCCTCCTGGGATTTGCTCATGTCCAGAGGGACAGAAAACGGCACTGATGGAGAATATGAATGGAGGGAGAGGCCAGACACATCTCTGATGGGAATCTGGAGGATTGTCTGTGGGAGGTGTGAAGACCTCCTCCATACTGCTTCTGGAGCAGTGAGAGAAAGACATAGGGACATTGACTTTGAGTGAGTATAAGAAAGAAATTTAAGGGACTGGGTAAGGCTGTTGTGTGAGGCAGTGAATCCTCTCTCCCAGGGAGTATTCCTTAAGTGGCTGAACATCATGATGTCAAGGATGTTGGCTTGGAGATTCCTAGTCAGCAGGGTGATTGCCAAATCGTCTCCACAGCAACTCCAACTTGACTATTCACTGTCTCTCTCTATCAAAACCCTCTTGGTCCACTCTACCTTCAACAAATATTCAGAATGCAACCATTTGTAACTTCCTCCATCTGATTCCCCTGGACCAATACATGGTTTTCTCTCTCCTGAATTATTTCAACGGCCTTCTAGATGCTTTCTCTGCTTCCTTCTTGGCCCCCGCTCTATTCTCAAAACAGCAGTCAGACCTATCCTGTTAAATTGTAAGTCAGATAATGTCACTCCTCTGTGTGAAATTCCACATCGCCCAAAGTCCTAACAATCATGTTCACGGTCACATGTGATCTTTCCACGCTCTACCCCCACCCCAGCCAACCTCTGATCTCAACTTCAACCGCACTCTTCCTTGCCTTGTATTCCCTGCTCACTAACACGGGCCTCCGGCTGTTCCTCAGACACGCCAGACATGCCGTCTTTGCCCTCAAAGGGCCTTGGCAATTTCTTCTTCCTGGAATACTTCTGCCTCTGATACTGAGAGAGCTCACTTTTTTTCTGCTTTCTCCTTAGATTTCATTACCTATTCAAAGAGGCTCTGCCTGTCCGCACTTTATAAAAAGGCACTTTTCATCTTTTGGTGTTCCTTTATTTTGCACAATAGTATTTATCGCCTACATATTATATATTTAATTATTTGTTTATATTCTGACTGCCTCGCCTGGCAGTGGCTTTGTCTGTTTCTCACTGCTGAATTCTCAGCGTCTAGAAGGGGCCCAGCACAGACAGAACCGGTGCTCAAGAAATATTTGTTAAGAGAATGAATAAGTGAATAGATGTGATTGTGTTTTCATGAGGAGATGGGATAATGTGACAATCAGCCAGGACTTGTCTCCTTCCTCTTAGAGGCAGGAAAAGGACCAAGGCTTTTAAAACTTGATAATGCTTTCAAATCTTATTGTGTTCCAGTTCCAGGTAAGAGGAAATAAACACATGGCCGCCTCTCTCCCTTACCGAGTATACAACCTAGACAGTACACAGTGCAGCTACCTGAAGTCTCCGAACAGTAAGTACCGGCAAGTGGATTAGGGGGGTAGGGGAAACCAGGAGTCTAACCACCACCAGACTGGTGGTGGGTGGGGCATATTTTGTACTTGGGTCTCTGCTGAGCAGAACTTAGTGTAGCCTGAAGCCTGAAGTCAGGTGCTTGGTGCAGAGTTGCAGAAGAAACCCTGTGCTTCTGGCTACAGCAGCAGAATAGGGAACTCCTTTATCTATCTATCTATCTATTTATTTATTTAATGTTTATTTTTGAGAGAGAGAGAGAGAGAGAGAGAGAAAGAGAGTGAGAGAGAGAGCACGAGCTGGGGAGGGGCAGAGAGAGAGGGAGACAGAGAATCTGAAGCAGGCTCCAGGCTCTGAGCTGTCAGCACAGAGCCTGACGCAGGGCTCAAACTCGTGAACCACAAGATCATCACCTGAGCTGAAGTCGGACCGTTAACCAACCGAGCTATCCAGGTGCCCCAAAGGGAACTCCTATAAATCAGAGCATGCGTGGGGGTGAGGATCCCTGCTTTTTTCCTCTTGTTTTTCTCCACTCTGGTGACCCAGCCATCAGGAGTCCGTGGCTGGAGTGACAGTGGTGGTAAACATGGCTGTCAACGTAAAAAGGCAGGGGCTAGGACTCTGAGGAAGGGAAGCTTATATTCTGGACTCAGGGCGCTCTTTCTTCCTGCTTTGGGGTCGTATCCCACCAGTACCTCAGGACTCTTGCTATCTGTCACTCTTCCCTGTCAGTTTTTAACCCAGGTCAGAGGGGTTGGGAGTGCAACATGCTCTTGAAGACACAGCAGCTGTCACATTTGGGACCAGTCAGAAAGCCTGGCCCCAGACACCCCCACCCCAATAAATATCCTGTGGCTGGGACCTGCCCATCACCCCACCTAGGCTGTGGCCTCCTCAAATGAGGAGCTGGGCCAGCCCCCTGAACCAGAAGACAGAGAGGGGAGCTAATGAACCCCCAGCCTTATAAAAACTGTCATGGTCTCTGGTCAGCCATGACAGCTTAAATACAGGGAGAGGGATAAAGCTGGAGCCCAGGAAGATGGGACAGAGGAGGAGCTGAGACCTGACCTTACAGAATGTTTCAAGGGCACTGAATGGGCCACGCTATGGCATCTGTGATGAAAGATGGGCACTGAGGAGGTAACCTCACTCGACTGCTCAGAGGCTGCATGAAGAGGAACGTCCTTAGCAGTTAGAAGGGGTGAGTGGGGCAGGGAGGAGCTCATGTTTCTTTACACAGCTTCTGCTAAACGCTTCATATGTGCTATGCCAGGTAAGCCTCACTAAGCCTGGGACGTGGGGCGGGCCACCTATTTTCCAGAAGAGCAAGCTGAGTCCCAGGGCCGTTAAACCTCTGTGTCAAAGGCCACAGTCGTGGTGAGTGACAGGGCTGAGGAAGCCTTCAATAAACTTATATGCCTCCATCAGAATTGATATGAATGAAACCCCCCAGATTTCCTTCATCCCTACACGTTTGAATCCCAAACAGGCCATGAACTTGAGAAGACAGAAGCCACCAGCAGTGTGAGGGAGGTGTAGAAATCAAAATATTTCACTGTTCAGTGGTTTGCTGAACACAAGACACTCCACCCCATGTCATGAGACATGAAAGAACAGGGGCTGGGGCCCTTGGTACCTTCACAGGTCTCCCTGAGGAGCTCGTCTCTGGCTGACAAAGATAGGGGGCGGGTTTTCCACACGTCTCATCTGGTCTCCTTGTCTCTGAGGAGGGCGCTGCCGTCAAGGATGGATTGGCCACAGTTCAGCCCAGGCCAGGGCGGCTGTCACAGCTGGGTGAATTCATGGCACTCTCGGTGGTTCCCAGACCTGCACGCCTCTCTTAGCAGAGCAAGTGACTAAGAGGAAGAGATTTGCTTTGAGTCCCAACTAAGAATGGATTAAGACAGACCACTCTTTCTGAGGAAGGGGAAGCCAGAGGAACAAACCCCAGCTTTCGGGTTGAGGGGGGATGCGGTTCTGTGGGCCCGTAGGGGAGGACATGCGGAACGCCCCTATGGGCATGGGCAGGGGGCCACAGAAACTCTCAGAGGCTCAAATCCAGGGGCTTGCTCGGCTCTTCATGGGTGAGGGGCGTGGTCTCAGGACCCCAATTGGCAATGGAGAAAGATCTAGCTCAGGGGCTGTGTATTTATAAGCTGCGAATTACTGAGTAATTAAATACATAACACATAGAACCGGGGAGTAGACGTGCTAACAGCCTCCCTTATGTTAATTGTATGTGTCACTGAGCACATCAGCATCAACTGCTTCATATTCGTGATAATAGTTAGTGTGTAGGGTTCTAGAACCTCTAGACTGGCACAGTCAAAACCTCAGAGGCCATCCAGCTTGGTCTCCCATATCTGATATTAGAATTCTCATGGCTACTGTTCATGCCAGGGAGCACTGATATTATCTTGAGTAGTAACGAGCACGCAACAATGGGCAGAATTCATCTGGGGACTGGTGCCCATCCCCCGCCGGGCAGCCTGGGAGACAGGATCCATTCCTGCCTGGTGAACGGTGCATGATCCCACATTTCCCAAATACCTCTTGTCAGAATGGAATGCCCAAGGGCACCTGAGTGGCTCAGTCCATTGAGTGTCTGACTTTGGCTCAGTCACGATCTTGCAGTTAGTAAGTTCAAGCCCCACATCCGGGTCACTGCTGTCAGCCTGTCAGCACAGAGCTGGCATCGAATCCTCGGCACTTCCCCTGTTTACACTCTACCAAAAATAAATAAATATTTAAAAAAAAAACTTAAAAAAAAAAAAGAATGTAATGCCCATACTTGGGTGAGGCACTGGGTCAGAACATACATAAGCTTAGGTCCCTGCTGCCTGTCTCCCTCCATCTCCTTTTCAGGGCAGATGGCACCCACTCCTCCCCAGAACAGTCCTGGCAGGCGAGTGATAAGGTGGGGGCCAGGGAACCTGGGTGAGAGGGGACCCCCCCCCGACTCCATCCTGGGTGATCTCAGACCTGCCTCATTGGTGCCCCATGTCCGGCCCAGCTATATTTGGCAAGCTCAACTCTGAAACTAGAGTGACTGGGCCACCCCAGTCCCTTCCCCTCACAGGGGCCAGTTTCTCACCTCTTTTAATCAAGTCTTCCATTTCTCCAGGCAACCCACACAAAAGGCCTGGGCCAGGTGGTGGAGATACTCTGGCTCCTACTCAGAGGTTCTATTTTCTGTTCTGCCTTCTTCCAGGCTGGGTAATTATGGATCTGTCCTCAGAGGCATTCTGTTTCTTAGCATTGGCTGCTCAAAAGCCTGTGTACGTGAGGCTGGTCTCACCACTTCTATCTAGTGTTACACTGCAGAGTACTATATCACAGACACGCGGCTGTCTGTGCCCAGTGTGAATACGCTCAAGGGCACATTCTAACATGTGGACCGTGTGTGTGTGTGTGTATTGGTATATGACCAGAGTGCTCATCGACCAATAGGTATTATCAAGTGCCCACTATGTGCCAGGCCAAGGTGGTCTAGGTTCGAGGGCACACTGTCATGAACTGGAGGGGAAAGATGGCGGCCCCCATGGTTTACATCTTAGTGGCAGCAATAGTAAACTCTGAAGTCAGGGCATTTCAGGTGGCGAGCAATGCTGAAGGAAATAAGCAAATCGATGCTAGTGAATGAAAGTCGCAGTGAGCTAGCTATGGGTGGCTGCTTCTGATGAGGTCATCAAGCTAACTTCTTATGGGGAGACATGAAGGTGTGGAGGCCAAGCATTCCAGGCAGAGGGAACAGCAGAGGCAGAAGCCCTAGGAAGGAACCAGTGTGGTGTTTGTAGCTGGAGAGCAGTAGCAGGGATGGGGGAGGTGGGGCAGTGGATGGTGGGAGCTGAGATCGGAGATGTTAGCAGGGGCCAGGTCCTAAAGGGTTCCAGGAGTCAGACCTCGGAATCTTCAGTCAAATTTCCCAGGTCCAGTTTTCTACTATGCCACCTACTAGTTGTGTGACCTTGAGGCAAGTTATTTAACCTCTCTGGGTCCCTGGATGGTGCTGGTGGGGGTAATGCTAGTACCTCCTTCAGAGAGTTGTGAACCAATGAGTTACCAGAAGTAAAGGGCTTAGAACACCACCTGCCTCATGGTGCATAGCTGTTCTTTTTATTAAGTGTTTGCTATTATGAGAAGCCTTATCGTTATTACAAAAAAGGAACTAAGGTTTTAAGAGATATACGTTTGTCTGCTGGGACAAGTTCTGCTCTGGAAATTAGGGGAGACCTGAGCCTTAGTCCTTGTTCCATCTTCAAGTCCCTGGGTGTCCAGATCCTCTAAGTGGGTTCCAAAGCAGTCCTGTGGGACCCCAGCTTAAGCAGTTGGCATGGCAGTAACCTCTGAGGGGTGAGGTTTTAATGAGACCAGAAAGGGAGCTCAAATCTCATCAAGAGAGCATCAGAGGTGACCTAAAGCTCAAAGAACACACCTGCCACCTGAAGCAGGGAAGGGAGGCAAAGCAAAGAAATGAGAGGGGCAGGCACAGGGCTGGAGGGGATTGGGAAGCAAGGCCAGCCTCCTAGAAGCCATCTTTATTGGTCCCAGCCTCACCATGCACCGTGGGGATGGCTGGGATGAAGCCCCAAGGTCAGATGCACACTGGGCTTTTCATCTTTCGAATGAAGGAGTTGATTGCGTTGATTAATAAGCTCTTTTAAGCCACTCCTCTCAAGATACCCATGGGAGACCGCACCGTTGGGGGGCTAGGAGGGTAAAAGGAGAGGATTCTTTGAGAATAATGAGTCCTGCCTGGGTCTGTGGTTGTCTTGGGATACAAGGTTTGGTTTCCTTTCTGCTAGCTGGAGGTGGAGAAGGAGCTAGTGTTTATAGTCCTAGCTAAGGGTCCTGCTCTGTGATCAGACCTCTTAGGTGTGTAGCCAGCCAGCTCTGGGGAGGGCTTCCATCAGAAATGCTCACTCTTCTCCCCAACTGGATGAAAAGAGGCACTGACAAGTTCTGCACATTTACAAACACACATCCACGCCCCTACCATGCATGGGCTTCTGAATATTTCCAGGTAAATCAGATTTTTGTAAATCAAATTTTGTGTTCAATGCACTTTGGCTGCTTGCTGTTTAAAGAAACCCTGTTGCAAGTCCTGTTGTGAAGCAAATATCTCTCCTCCCATAAATATCAATGTTCATATTTAGGCTTTCAAAGTATGGAAGCCCCTGTCTGTTCAAGGGTGTGTGTGTGTGTGTGTGTGTGTGCACGTGTGTGTGTGTGTGCATTTGCATTCATTCTGGCACATAAAAGGATCCATGAATAAAAATGTTTTTTCTCTCCTAGGCTTTGTTGTGATATGTTGCTGGAAAAAAGACACACTGTTCAAGCAAAGGGCAGACCCTGAGCAGCTCAGGTCTCTGTGTGCTTCCCGTCCTTCCTAACTGCTGCTGGAAGTCAGCAGCTGACTGCTGCTCCCCAGGGGTAGACCCCATGGGTCCCACCTCAGGGCGAAGCGCGGAGGCACTTAACAACTTGGGGAAGACAAAAAATGTGTCTACTACCTGGAATAGGGTGGGGAAGGGAGGCAGGTGGGTGAGTGTAGAGGGGCTAACCAGGAATGCTAGAATTCATTCACAGGATTGCATTCTACAATCAATTATTCATCAGGAAACATCCAGGGAACCACTGTTATTTGCTTCCTGCTTGTCTGCAGGACCAGGGTGGTGGCCCTGACAGTTTTGTATTCCCGTGCTCCCATGAGTGGTTCAACTTTCCCTGGTAAATTTGTAGCACCACCCTGGGCTTTACGGCTTGTCTCCCCAGCCCGTGCCTCTGACCTCTGCGTGGGGGAAGAGTCCCCTTTACTCCCCAGCCTTCTGCAGGGTGGTGTGGGGACAGGCCAAGAAGTCTCTGGAAAGACTCTCCTTCATCATTTATTAATGGTCCCTGGCCTCTTCCCTGAAATAATTAGGGTTGGGATATTTTCGTATCATGCAGTTAATTGCCATCTGTACTGTTTAACAAGTGAGGGCACGGGGTAGTAATCTGGAGGCCCACCGAGGATAGGACATGAGTCATGGTGTTGGCTGCCACAGCTTGATGGGAGGGGGACGTGCAGAGGGAGCCGGCGCTGGGATGTGGGAGGTGCCGGACTCACAGTTCACAGGGAAAGTGTTAAGAACCAGGCTTCTCCTCTGGGAGCAGGAGCCCAAACGAGATCCTGGCAGAAAGCTGGGTTCTCACCACAACAGACACCCACAGGATGTCCCAGGAGCTGCCTCAAGAGCATGAAGACTGGGGATCAGAAGCCCTGTGCTCTAGCCCTCGGTTCGCTGGAGGAGAGTCTGAGCTGGGGATTCCAGTGTGTGTGTGATTTGTTGCGGGAGCAGGAGAGGACTGAAGAAGAATCTAGGCCAAGCTGCCACTTCGGGCAAGGTCTTGCCTGAGCCTGATCCCTCAGGGAATTCTGGAACGTGAATGGCCCCTTGGAGTCTGTCCAACCTTAAGACAGGGGGCCAGCCTTCATATTCTGACAGCAGTGTCACTAGCCAAGGGTTATTATGGAGGGTGGGGGGTGTGACAGAGGGCTTTCACCTCCTGAGTGTCTCCCCAGGAAATGGCTTCTGTCCTGTCAAGTAAGGACAACCCATTGGAGAAGGCACAGCTATGACCTATTGGCAACCAACACTCCAGCAGCTTGGTGAAGGAGATATGGTGGGGCACCAGCGGCCTCTGACAGAACCTTCCAGGCTGAGAGACAGCGGACATCTAGTCTCTCTGAGGCCCAGTTCCTTCCCACAAGAGGATTCACAGCCTTCCAGGGCTCTCTTACAAGAGAGCACAGAAGGCTGGTGTGGAGGGCATCTCTTAGCTGTCATGTGCTATATAAATACCCTGCCCCTACTCCTGCACAAACCCCTGCTATTCCATGAGGAACTACCGGGATGCAACTTTGCATGTGGCTGGAGTGCACAGACTAATGTTTGGCTGGATTTATAAGGTGTCTCTCTTTACCCTCTGCCCTGGCCTGGGCACCCTCCATTAGACAAATGTTCTTTTGGGAAGGCATTATCCTTGGGGATAATTTACAGAGAAAGGGGAGAGGGGCTAATTTTTGGTTCTCAGTCATGAATGCCAGTGTGAGGATCCTTCCCAGGCCATCCTAGACTAGAGTCAGGGAGAGTGACAGGGGCCAAGCAGATGGCCACTGACGGGACCGCAGGAGGGGCCTCTTCCCACCCTCATCCATTTAAGGCAGGCTGACTGGTAAGCTAGAAAGGGCTGAGCACTCAGGCTGGTGACAGCTGCTGTCTGTCCCTCAGGGAAGACTGTGAGTGCAAAAGAAGCTCTCCCTCCCCATCCCGCTAAACCCCCTCCTTCACTAAGCCTTGCCCTAGCTCCTAAGAAAAAGGGCTGCCTGGC